GATGTGGATGCAGGAACACGGGCAGGGTGCGCACGTGGAGATGTGGAGGCAGGAACACGGGCAGGGTGCGCACGTGGAGATGTGGAGGCAGGAACACGGGCAGGGTGCGCACAGGTTCTGGCTGCATGTTAAGAACAAAACAAGCTCGCTGAGCACTTGCCTGTGCTTCCGTTTCTTCTTCTGGGACGGATTCATGAGCTCGCTGGTCGGCAGTTTCATTATAAGGGATTCTTTCACCGCAAACTGGAAGACCTACAAAAGAGTTCAGCTCGTTCAGATCATACCCTGGAGGGCAGGCCAGGCTGCCAGGCCCAGCTCCCACAGGCCAGGCGCCCGGGGGAGATTGCTGTTCGTTTGGAAAGCAAACCCCTCCCTTGGCTGCAGAGCTGGTCCTCTGGGGCCGATCAGAAGCACTAACCCTCGCAGCTCCAGCGTGACGGCAGGGCAGGGACAAGCTGCAGCTGGCTGGGCTGGGGGCTGCAGTGATTTTCACCGTACGGAGCGTGTGCCCGTCGTGCCTAGAGCTGAGCGATGAACGCTCATCCTCGTTCCCACGCTACTTCGCTCTGCCCCTGGTTCCACACGTCGGTGTGAACCCAGCCAAGACGGATGCGTGACAGCGCGCGCACGAGTGGAATCTAGCACAGGGCCTGGGGTCCCTAATTCTTCAGACGGGAGATGGGAAAATCCCCAAAGGGCAACAATAGGGATTCCAGGCTGGGAGAACACACACAGAGTGACTTTGCAGCTGCTAAAGGGCCTCCAAAAAACCCACCCCCAGCTTTCTGCACACAGGCAGGCTGGAGCCTGAGCCGCTGCAGGGAGCCGGCAGGTACTTTTCTACGCACGGCCCTCTGAAAGCCTGGCCTTGCCCAGGAAAGAGAAGAGTCAGGGGAAGCCCTGATCCAGGCCTTGTAAATCCCTTCGAGTTTACTCCGCAGTCAAAGGAAGCGGAGCACACAGGCTGGGCTGAAACCAGAGCCAAGCAGTCAGGGCAGTGGGATGGTGGAGACGGACTGAACAGCGTCAGGACACATTGGTACGAGGCACCAAATCCTCAGCTCTGCAGTGGGTCGGAGGCAGGGGCAGAAGCCAGGGCCCTGTGGTGCTCTCCTTAGGACAAGCAAACTACTCTGCAGCTGCACCACTGCAGGCTCCTCCCTCGAGGCCGTGACTGACACGTCAAACAGGAACGCTGGGTGTGCGGGACGCTACCAGACCGAAGAGGCAGCCGGCATCCTCCGAGGCGGAGCAGAGGGAATATCAGACCATGGCACTCCAAGGAAGCAATTCCTCGGGCACCAGCCACCCCCACAGCCTGAGCAGATAAACGACGCCGTTACCTCACTAGGCCCCTCAAGGCGGGTTTCCGCTGGTCTCTCTGTGGCACAGACAGCAAAGCAAGAGAGAGCACTGCTCCCAAGGCTCCCTCCCCTCCCCTCCCCCCCGCCCCCCCCGGAGCGGCCCCCCCAGGGTGCCAGGCCATACCTGCTTGCAGGTTTTCGTTCCCAGCAGCCTGGCTATCGAGCAGAAGTTGTTGAAGTAGGTGCCGTGGAGCACGCGGAAGAGCGACTCCTCGGCCCCCGTCCACTCGACGGGTTCCTGCGGCGCTTCCATCACAAAGAGCTGGGAGGAGGCAGGGCTGCCCTTCTGCTTGGTGGGGGTCTGGCTTCGGGAGTTGGCCTCTAACAAGACCCAGATGACAGGAAACACAGCAGTCAGGGCAGCCACAAATACAGACTCCCACGCTGGGGAGCCTGGGTCTGCCAGGAGCCAGCCCCTCACTCCCATGGCCCCCTCCTTAGTCCTGCCTCGAACTCCTCCCACCCATGGCAATCTCCCCAGCAGAGCTCCCGCCAGGGCCCAGCACCACCCCCTGCGGGTCTGTCCGTGCAGGGCAGCAGAGAATAACGTGAGCTGCTCCCTGTTCCAGACCAAGCCATGGGCACAGCCGGCAGGGGACCACCCTAGCCCAGAGGAGGCCTGACTTGTAGTGGCCAGGCACACAGAGCCGGGCAGAGGCCTGTGGATCGATCCGTGGACAGAAGAGGACGCTCTGATGAGCCCGTTTGCTCCTGCTCCCCCTGCCTACCGGGCCAAGCCAAGGAGCAGGAGGAGCCAGGCTACCCGTTGCAGCCAGGAAAACCTGCCTTGGCGACTCTCCAGTGCCGGCTCTGCAGCAGCCCAGTGAGATGGAAGGTCGGAGAGTATGGAAATGCAAAGGCCCCGAGGCATCATACCTGAGGAACTCGAGGCCCAGTCGTTGCCTGTGTCTCTGTCGCTGTCTCCCTCCCTCGTCTCAGCGATGGAGGAGGACGAGGGGTTTGAGCTGGAAGCACTGACCACATGGTGCCTACGGCGCCGCCGACCTGAGCATTTGGACCTGGGATTGTGCAGCACTGCAAACTCCTTGGCTCCCTCCTGCAATCAGACAGCGCATGGCACGTGAGAGCCACGCAAGGGAGGCAGAGAGCTCCATTCCACAGGCCCAGGGCTCTGCACTGCAGCAGGGACCCTCAGCTCTACGGGGGGGCACCACAGTCCCTGCAGCCCCCATCGCAGTGAGACTCCTCCTGGTGAGCCTCACACGCTGTGACCTGCCCATCTCCACTGCCTTGTGCTGCCAGCAGCCCCCGGCCTCTCCTGGAGGACAGCTCCCCTGCTCCAGCCAGTGCAGTGTCAGCCAGAGGGTGAGCTCCCAGGGGCAAAGACCACGTCCCCTTGTATGCATGTTCCCCAGCGGGCTGATCTCATCTGCTGCCGAGCCATGTGCTGCTTACCAGGGCCCTGGCTGTGGGGGTTGGGGACTGGTGGCTGGATGTAGGGAACACAACCGGGTTATTTTAAATACAGTTTCCCATGCTGAGCACTGCACGGTCTTGTGGTACCACCCAGCATCGCACGGCCTCACCTGGTTGAGACCAGCCAACGCTCCATGGCTGGAGGTTTGTTCACATGGGTCTCGAGTGAGGACTTGTGCTCACCAACTCCTGTATCTGACCTTGGAAGCCACTGGGACAGTACAAAGGGCCCTGCAGGTAAGGCAGGAGGGATCCCAGAAACCTACCAGCCAGAGGAAACAGTCTGTCCCGCAGGGATCTGGCTCGATCTTGATCTCTCTGTTCTTCCGTTTATAGACATTAGGAGTCGCATGGAAAGCTGAAAAATACAAGCCACCTTCATCATGTTAGCACCAGGCACCTTCCAATAGAGAGGTTCATTTGTCCCCACAGTGGAGGAGGCAGCTGACGGCCCAGCACGCGTGGCGAAAGGTGCTGAAGTGCAAGGCTGACCAGGCACCACGGGCACTGACTGGGAGTCCTACGCTACCAGGGCACTTAGCCACGTCCCCTGGCCACCCCGCGCTCACCAAGGAAGGAAACTTAGATCTGTGATGTTGGGACACCCGAACACCTCCCAATTCCTGGAAAAGAGACTTAACAGGAAGTTTTACTTTTAAACTGACACACACATACCGAAGCATGGTCGTATTCCAGTGTTTAACAACAGAGTCGAGCTGAAGAGACTCCTGTAACTCCGCAGCGACCCCCAGGAATAGAAAGGCAAAGCAATGCTCACAAGGCCTTAGCATGACAAGCTGGAGGAATGGGCCCAGCGACTCGTTACGACAAAGCAGTCAAACGTGGGGACGGGGCAGACCACAGTGAGGTGTCAGCGTAACGTGTGTCAGGTCTGTGCGGTGCAGAACGGGGGGGGCTCACTCAGCAGGACCGAATGCCTTTGTCAATCTGGCTCTCCAGGACTGCAACACTACACAGTGCAGAGCATCAGGAAAAGACAACGGCACCCGCCCAGTATAGTCTGGAGTGGGGGCAGCAGAATCACTGTGTGGGGGCAAGGTAAAGAAAGGGGTGGAAATGGTGGAACCTCCAGGGGAGTTTCCAGCTGAGTCTCAACTTACGATGCAGAAAACAGTCATATTTGAAGCACCGTCTGCAGAAGAGCGTATGGAAAGAGTGCAGGGACTGCTCTCGCTGGACTGACTTTGCACATGGCCCATCAATGTTTGGAGTGCACTGGGGGGGCAGCACGTTCGGATCCGACTGTTCAGTAAGTTCCCTGTACCTGTTTTAAAAGAAACCATGCACGTGTATTTTCCCACACTGCTCTATGTCACTGCAACTAGCCGCTCGGCTCTGCGCGCTGATCGACTCGGTACAACGGGGCCGAGTTCAGGGTGTTGAAACAGTCAGAACTTCCGTTTTCTCCTAGCAAGCTCCCATTAGGCTATTTTCAGTCTGTTCCCCGGAGGTCTTTGTTCAGTGTTTCCCCATCTCCCGTAGAGACCGTTTGTGACAGACATGGCGATTTATTGCAATATCCTGGGAGACCTTATTGCATGAAGTTTATGCATCTTTGGGATCCGCTGTATGAAATGAATGCTTTATGGGCCAGGATTGTACGTAACCTCTCCACGGGGGAGATGTGAGGCCCGGGGGCTCAATGGACTATACTGAACAATGGGCCAGACAAGCATGGACTCTTGCAACAGTGTGAAGTGGTTTTCCTGTGGGAGGTAAATGCAAATTCCCCACCTCTGGTTATGCCAAACCCCAGCCTTTGGAAGCTGCACCGAGGGGTGGGCCATTGTCAGCTGATCACCTGTGACGTGAGGCCAAGCTACATAAAGGAAAGACTGAACTATTCATGGCTGTTCTGGTTCTGAAAATGAGACTGGTAACCCACGGGAAAACCCAGCTGCGAGTTTTGAAGGACTGACACTACCGGAGCCCAAGGCTGGAGTTGGTGTGACCTCTAGTAAGCTTTAGCCTGTGTCTAGGTTCTTTGATTGTTTTTAGCATGTCGTCTTTGTAACGCTTTCACCTTAAGAAGAAATGTGCTTGCTTATAAAGAGTGTGGGAATCTGTAACTGTGGCAATTACGAGGCTCACTGCCCGCGGAGAGAAAGCAAAGCACAGACGCTGGCCTTTTAGGCCGTCTGGCTTGCTGGGGAGGATTTCATAGCACAGGCAGGGAACTGCAGCCTGGGAGAACCCGTCAGGAGGGAGAGAGAGACATGGGTCTCGAGCCAAGAGAGGTGATGGCTGAGGAGCCAGGAGCCTAGCGTAGGTGCCTAGAGGGACCACGGCGGGGGAATGCAGGTGCTGTTTCCCTGAACTCTGACACTGCCCATGGGCAGATTCCGGTCTACTGCACTAGTCAGACCAGCATACTAGTATTTGCTGAAGTATCTTTGTTAAAAACTGGAACTGATTCTGCTAGACAATTTAACCAGGAATGTCTCCTACCGCTCTTTCATGTCTTCCGGGAAGCCGTTCTCAGGAAACATTGAAGAAATAGCACTGAAGATCATGTCATTTGGGAACTGCTTCTTTGCACACTTTTTGTTGCCTACACCAAAATGACAGAAGACTCTTGAGTTAAGCAGGACGCGAAAGCGCCTTTCCCTTTTAGGGGTGGAGTTACTCCAGGGATGCTTTGGATCCCATTTTAAAAGGCAGAGAGATAACCGCACAGTCATCCAACAGAGAATCCTTCCTTAGTCTGCCAGCTAGGATAAGAAACATACCGTTCCAGTGGTGCCCCTTCAGCAACGCCATCAGCGAGACTCAATGATGATTCATAAGGGAAAAATTACGACTTTGTGCTGCAAGGGGACTGAGTGCACGAAAACCCTTCCCCAAATGCCGGAGGGGATTTAGAGAAGCAAGACTCTGCTTGGACTCGGGTTTTACTCTTGGATGTTTCATAACCAGACTAAAATATCAGCAAGAAGATGCGTTAGCTGCGATCGCCAGGACCTTACACACAATACTTTGGAGTCTCTGCAGCTGAGAGAGAGAGATTCTCTGCTACTGGTATCACTCACTCATCACTCAGAGCAGTCCGAGATTAAATCCACCACTAAAGCTTCCTGAGATTACACAGCACACGTGAAAATCCCACTGTTCTCGCTTCCTCCCACTGAAACCCACCCCAAGGAAACACTCCAGCTAGCATCCCAGGGGGAGCAAGGACAGGCCACGGAGCTTTCTAAGTGGCACTTCACTACCTTTATTAGCAATCAACATGATGAGTGTAGGAGGGCACAGTGACTGCTGGGGAGGATGGAGGCCACCAGACACTGTCCCAGCTTCTGCTGCCAAACCCACCTTCCATTGTGGTTCGCTTTCTTTTTCTTGTGACTGGCAGCTCCTCCTTCCCATCCTCCTGTTTACCCTCGGAGTCATTCAGCCCTTCCTCTTCCTCATCCGAGTACTGATTCAGAGCGTCAACAAGCTCCAGAAACACAGCGTCGCTGATAAGGACGGACCCTGTAATCATCTCTAGAACACAGAAATATCAGCTGCTTCGTGGGCGTGCTGCAATCTTCCAGCCTGGGGTTTGGTGGTAAATCAGCCACGGGACAGACTGCTGGTTAGGAACAGCGCTTTCATGACAGGATTTGCCAAGGCAGGGTGTGTCTGGGGAGGTGGGGGAGATGTTGACTGTGCATCACTCTTAGTCACACCTGGCAGCCAACACATGGAGTAACAGAGCCAGCCCCTCTTCCCAGCTGAGTAGTAATTGCTATAGACACAGACACTCACTAATTAAGCCATTTGGGGCATGGGATGGGAGCCAGCTTTTCGGTGTCTCCTACCTCCAGGCAGGGCCTTGTGAGGGGCTAGGCAGCTCGGTGGGAAAACACACAGGCTTTTCACCACTGAAGAACTGATTCAAGTCTTGGCTCAGGTCACAAGTGAAAGGAGTTTGCTGGTCTCACCCTAACTCTTAATGGATATCTGCCCTCGTTATACAAATGGCAGTGAGAGGCCCAGGGCTGGACCTGCCTGAGGTGCCTTGGCAGAGCTGAGGGCAGGGAGACAGGACCAGGCCAGCGGGGGCGCTCTCGCTTTACATGCTCCCTAGTCTAGGAGACCCTCCGCAGCGGCTAGTTATTGCTACTGCTCTTTGCCTCCTCAGCTGTTCAGAAAGCCTGGCCACGCTCCCTGCTTGCAAGCCCTGCCGAACCGCAGAGCACCCCTCTGCCCAGGTTACCTTCCTCGCCGTGAACTTTCCCATCGTAGTTATTAATTAGCTCTTCAATGAAGGTTTCGTCTTCCTCCTTCACCTCATCTCCCATGTAGGGGATATTGCACAGCACAGTCTCATCCTCCACCTGCAAACAGGTCAGGCAGCCAGCGCTCACCGACAGCCAGCCAGAGGGCAGCCTCGCGGCTGCTGCTTCCCGTTCACACACGGTTCTGCAAGGACTCGCCCTTCCCAGACTTCACTGCTACCCTGCACACTGTGAGGCGCTCTGTTCATAACACCCCCCCGCCACAACAGAAGGGTCGTGTCTCCAGGGCCCAGAGGCATTCAGAGACACAGGAGAGAGCCGAGCAGGTATCGGGGGCTCATGAGCGGGGCAGAAGTGGGCTGGCACACAACGAAGAGCACACGGTAACTCATCCCTGTCTGAAGTACAGTGTACACTAGAGGAGCGTGCTCTCCTTACACACAGCGGGGACAAAGGCACTCGGAATACTCCAGGGCTACACTCAGTGTTCTGACAACTGCCGTCACTCCGTTCTGCCACAGCTGCTCCCCACTGGCCTTAGCGAGGTATTGCAGCAGGCAGATCTGTACACTCTTGCAGCAAGCAAACGGCCAGTAGGAAATAGCTCCAGATCGACGTTTGTTTCGTAAATAATTTTAACCAAGAAGCCAAGAAGGTCACAGCATTAATGCTGTGCCAGAAAGTGTATTTTAATCATTCTGTGCCATCCTGTTCTCTCAACAGCAGCACCGTTGGGGGGGGGGGGTGTCAGTCACAAAGGTAGGCGCTGCCTAACTTATTTGTTGAATATTTAATTATTTTAAACTAGGGCTGTCAAGTGATTAAAAAAGTTAATCGCAATTAATCGCACTGTTAAACAATAACAGAATGCCATTTATTTAAATGTTTTGGATGTTTTCTACATTTTCAAATATATTGATTTCCATTACAACACAGAATACAAAGTGTACAATGCTCACTTTATATTTATTTTTTATTACAAATATTTGCACTGTAAAAAAAGAAATAGTATTTTTCAATTCACCTAATACAAGTACTGCAATCTCTCTATCATGAAAGTGCAACTTATGTAGAACCAATGTGAATGAAATTGTTTTTAGTTATCCTGTACCATTGTAACTTCTGTTCACCATTTCATTACACCTGCCATTTTGCCTACATTGTAACTTTCATTACACTTTCCATTTTTCCTACATTGTAACTTCTGTGCCATATTGTAATTCAAACCCCATTTTAAAACGCTTACTCCATTTTGTAAGGGCTTGCTGCAACCTTCATTGTTGCAAACCCTGCTGTAATTTGATTAGTCTAGTTGAGATGTGTGAATGAGGAATGCATGGGTGATAGAATCAACCTCCAGCACCAGCCCGTCCTGATGAGATAAAGTTCAAATACCAACGGCTGAAGAACTAGACAACAGCCCTAACTCAAGCAAGAAGCATCCACCCTAAAAAGAAACAACAGAAGGAAGATCAAAGCCAGGTCCCAGGCTGACAGTCACGCCTGCAATTGACGGGTGATCAAGCACCAAACCCAGAGGCGGCGTGACACAGCGAGACCTAGGAACTTTGAATCCAAACTAAACTCCTATAAAAAAGAAAGGGTGAGATGAGAGACTTTGGGTAACGTTCTGCTATCAACATCAAGGAGCATCGGTGCGCGCCCGACAGAGACCCGGCTCCTCCTCGTGCTCAGCTTTCCTGGCCAGTTAGCTGTCACGAGCTACGATCCCAAGCTGCGAACTCAAACTACAATCAGGACTGGTAACTATCCAGCAGCTGCAGAACATTTTGGTGTGTGTGTGTGTGTGTGTGTGAGTGTATGTGTATAAGCATTGAGGTATTTGCTAATAGTTACAGATTAATAATAAATGTGGCATCTTTGTCTTGACCCCTAAAACGATCCTGTATAAGTTTGTGGAACAACACTTACAAATGTAGAATTATGTTAAAAAAAAAGGATTTAAAAATAAAACAATGTAAAACTTTAGAGCCTACAAGTCCATTCAGTCCTATTTCTTGTTCAGCCAATCGCTCAGACATACAAGTTTGTTTACATCTGCAGGAGATAATGCTGCCCGCTTCTTGTTTACAATGTCACCTGAAAGTGAGAATAGGTGTTCACATGGCACTGTTGTAGCCGGTGTTGCAAGATATTTACGTGCCAGATGCGCTAAAGATTCATAGGTCTCTTCATGCTTCAACCATCATTCCAGAGGACATGCGTCTCTGCTGATGACAGGTTCTGCTCGATAACAATCCAAAGGAGAGCGGACCAATGCATGTTCATTTTCATCATCTGAGTCAGATGCCACCAGCATTTTCTTTTTTGATGGTTCGGGTTCTGTAATTCCTGCATCGAAGTGTTGCTCTTTTAAGACTTCTAAAAGCATGCTCCACACCTCATCCCTCTCAGATTTTGGAAGGCACTTCAGATTCTTAAACCTTGAGTCGAGTGCTGTAGCTATCTTTAGAAATCTCACATTGGTACCATCTCTGTGTTTTGTCAAATCTGCAGTGAAAGTGTTCTTAAAACGAACATGTGCTGGGTCATCATCCGAGACTGCTATAATATGAAATATATGGCAGAATGCAGGTAAAACAGAACAGGAGACATACAGTTCTTCCACAAGGAGTTCAGTCACAAATTTAATTGACACATTTTTTTAACGAGCATCATCAGCATGGAAGCATGTCCTCTGGAATGATGGCTGAAGCATGAAGGGGCATACGAATGTTTAGCGCATCTGGCCCGTAAATACCTTGCAATTCAGGCTACAACAGTGCCAAGCAAACGCCTGTTCTGACTTTCAGGTGACATTGTAAATAAGAAGCAGGCAGCATTATCTCCCATAAATGTAAACAAACTTGTTTGTCTGAGCGATTGGCTGAAGTAGGACCAAGTGGACTTGTAGGCTCTAAAGTTTTACATTGTTTTCGTTTTGAGTGCAGTTATGGAACCAAAAAAAAAATCTACATTTGTAAGTTACAGTTTCACAATAAAGAGATCGCACAGTACTTGTATAAGGTGGACTGAAAAATACTATTTCTTTTGTTTATCATTTTTACAGTGCAAATATTTGTAATAAAAAATAATAATATTAAGTGATCGCTGTACACTTTGTAATAGAAATTAATATTCGAAAATGTAGAAAAATATTTAATAAATTTAAATTGATATTCTATTGTTTAATAGTGCGATTAATCACAGTTAACTCACGCGATTAACTCAAAAAAATTAATTGCGATTTAAAAAAATTAATTGTGATTAATCAACAGCCCTATTTTAAACAGAAACAATTCCACAGTTTAAAAGAAATCAGCCACTAAATCCAGGCAGTAAATCCTGCAAAGGCAGCAGTCAGACTTGGCCAGCCCTCGGGATGTCAGGGGATCTGGCGAGCCAGCTCGGCTATTCGGGGATACAGCATCACACGAGACGAAAACGTTCCCTTCCAACGTCTCGGGAGCAGCGGGAGACTCAAAGGGAGCAGCTGAGGAAAGTATCTGCAACCTCAAACATGTAGGGATGACGCATTAATCGTCTCAAAAGTCTCACACCACAACGCGCTCTCACATACCATGAAATTCTGCTGAAGAGGGGACCAGGAATACATAATAGGCACCAACGCTACTGTGTTTAGGGACCTCATGAAGATGGTCTGGTTCGGGAATCCAGGGAAATTGCTCTCGACGGTACACTGGAAAACAAGCAAACAGGGACAGTAAGGAAAGGGCAGCTCAGACCCAGCGACTGCAGGACAGAAACACACTTTGATCCCGTCCCACATTTACAGCTACTGATCTGCTGAGCTTTCCAGTCACTCACAGTCTTCCCTGGACATTAGCCCCAGGGTTTTCTTTTTGCCCCCATTTCTGCAGCCTGGGGGGAGTACAAGACACAGTAAGAGACTGACACGCAGAGAGCGGAGAAAGGTACAGCCCTCTTCAGCCTCCCCTGCAAAGCCCTGGGCTGTACTCGGCTCGTGTGGCTGCCCTGCCACTTCCACCTCCTTTTCCTGTACCTGCTTCAGGAAGGGGTGCCCACTGCCACGCTTCATTAGCGGGACTGGCTGAACTCGAAGCTGCTTCCAGTCGTCATTCAGAATTTGAGTTTTTTCTTGAACCTTTGCAAAATTGGCCACAAACAGAGCCTGAAATTAGAAAGAGAAGTGCTTACAATCCTCAAAGCAAGTTTAGACTTAGATTGCTGAAATCCCTGCTGGGAATGTGTGACACACAGCAGGCTGTAGAGTCAACACAACTGCCACTTTCAGCAAAGGCAAGGAAGGATATTATTCCCATTTTACAGACACGGAACTGAGCTTCAGAGGGACTAAGTGACTTGCCCAAGGTCATACAGAAAGTCTGTGGCAGAGCAGGGACCTGAACCTAGGCTCTCCAGTCCCAGGCTAGTGCCCTGATCACCAGATCACTCTGTCACAAGGAACACCAAAGAAAGATTCTCTACGTCCCACACAGACACTGATCACGGCCTAGTCTAACAGCAGAATGTGAACAATTAAAAAAACTCCACAGATTATAAAGGCTGAAGGGTCCATTCCCATGGCTCTTCTCTGAACCCTCTCCAATTTTTAAACATACTTCATGAATTACAGACACCAGAACTGGACACAGTGTTCCAGCAGCCATCACAACAGTGCCAAATACATGTAATCTCCCTACTCCTACTTGATAGTCCCCTGCTTATACATACGAGGACTGGCCCCAGAAAATACGTCTACCTTCGCTCCCATGTTTGCCTGAAACCTCTTGAGTTGCCGAAGACGCATATATTCAGACTTGACTTTCCTTTTCCAGTAAATAATGCACTTAGACGTTGGAGGAGGTGGGATTTCCATTTTCCTGAAAAACATAACAGAAAGGTAGCACCCAAACGACAGAGTGCTTCTTCGCAAACACAAGGGGTTTCCTAACAAAAACGGTGATCACCAAGTTTATCAGGCAAAAAAAGTAACTGCATGCGCAGGCCACATTGGTTCTGTTTGTTTAGGGAATAATTATGGTGCAAACCGTACCTAGGAGAGGCACAGAAAGTTCTTAGAGCCAAGAGGGCACTGGGTGCTCAGGACAGAGCATTCATTGGCAGGGGTCTCACCTATCTGTGCCCCTAGCAGGGCTGCTCCCAACAGCATGAGCCTGGGTGATCTCCTGTTTGACTAAATATTCTGAGCAGCTCCTCTGCTCCATTTGCCCCGGGCAGCAACAGACTGAAGGCAAAGGTGACACTGGCTTCATTATACACAGACTGGAATCACAGCTTGTGCGTCCAAGGTGACCCTCTTAGGTCGGCGGGGATCTTTCCCCCACTAGCATATTCCTCACAGCACAGAGCAGGCCACAAGTCTTTGCTTCTCCTCCTCAGGAGTGCACAGCAAAGGGTTATTTATTAAAGATGCCAAACATTCTCTGAGGCAGCAAAAAATCAAAACTAAGAGCCAATCGCACACACCAAGAGGCGGCTCCGGGGCTGTCCCCAGGGACTGCAGGGTTACAAAACATACTTCTGCAGGGTTAAACCTCCTTAAAGTTCACCCAGTGCCAACCACACACATTTTCTCCAGACCTAGTCTTAGGGGTGGGAGACACGATCACAACATGCATGTGACAATGGAAGAAGAGGTGTGTGTCTGTGTCTCTCTCTATATAACACACACACAATGCAGCAACACTATACGAGGCTCTGATCTCACGCAAACTATAGGTGCAAGCCTGATTGTCCCAGGGAGTCAGGTTAGCCTTTGCAGGGAGTTACAGTCCATTCCGGTTCATCATTTAACCCTTCTGTTTGCATTATTGTTTTTCCAGTTCACCCAAGAGCCTGGAGACATAGGTAGGGATCTGATCCCCTCACTTCCAAGCAGACCGGATCCCGCTGTAACAGTATGGAAGTCTTTGGACAATTAGGATTCTGAGACAAACAAGTAAGTTTTCAGGATTATACTTTTGTTTTCCTTTCATCTGCTGGGATTTAACTGTCTGATTCCCCTTGGGGTACAGTTTCAAAGTTATAGTTCCCCAGCATTCAAACATCTCTTTTACAAGAGCTACTGCTATTCAAACCTAAGAAACCAGACCCCCTCAGAAGCACCCTGGGCAGCTTTCCCTACTGCCTGGAATAAGCCTCCTGTGGGTGATGGGGTTAAAATAAACTACACGGCACAAACCACAGAGTTAGGCTGAGAAAAACATGTTCAAAGGGGCATTTAACTGTAATTAAGAGTCAGCAGCAGCGTCAGCCACAAGCACAGTGGGGTGTTATGTGCGTCTGTGACAGAGGGGAGCATCATTCGGCTTCAGCCCACGTTCTAGCCCCAGTAAGTCAGGGAGCGAAGGAACAATGTCAAAAGCAGAACAAACACCTATTGCTCAGACACACGTTTTAGTTACAGATTGCAAATAAAGGAAATACGACCTGTGATGGTGCCGCCCCGTTAGCTGGAGGCAAAATGATGGCACGCAGCAATCTGACCCCCAGCTCACCAACTCCCCAATACCCTTGCAATTGCAGACACCCCCTATTCCAGCACCCCACTACCCCAAGCCTCCCATCCCAGACATCCTTAAACAAACCCCACAGATGAACCCCAAACCAATCCACTCCACATACTCCCCATACCCCAGCCAGACCTGCCTGTCCCAGTGCTCCCCACAGCCAGAGGCCCCCCAACCCCC